AAAAAAAAAAAAAACTATATCATAAAAGTAATATATTGTATATTTTTATAATAATAAATAAGAAAAAAATACTTTCATTCAAACAGATAACTGTATATATGAAGTAAATACCTGTATTTTGACTTAGATTTTGAATGTCTGACTGTGAACACTATATAAAATTCTTGTTTTTGACGTAGCAAATTAAGCCTGTTTGTGTCAATTTTCTTGATTTGATGGTAACAAGCTTTTTTTCCCCTTTTTTTTCTCTTTCATCTCCCTTCCCCTTCTCTCCTTGGAATGTTGTCCTGCTTTGCGCTGTGATTGCATGTCACTCGCTGGTGATGATGTCCCGTCACATGGCTTATTGCTGTGATAAATACCATGCCCAATTATCTCCTCCATGTTGCCATGGTTTCCATATTGCTACACTCTTCTGTATGTTTGCTTATATGATTTTCCCTCCGAAAGTTCCCATGGTGCACGGTGCTACGCCAGCCACTGTGTCCGCAGCAACAACATCTGCCACAAGTGTTCCCTTCGCTGCAACAGCCACAGCCAACCAGGTTTGCTAATTTACAGCTTTGTTTCTTAAAAACCAACTCTAATAGGGCTCAATCCAACAGCCCTTACGCACGTGGCTTTCCCATTGAGGTCAGTGGGAATCGTGTGTACGTGAGGGCTGTAGAGGGTGCTTTAATAGCATGGGGTTTCAAAGATACCTCTTGTTGGCCTACACATTCTCTCTATGATGAGCAGCAGAATGCTTTTATGCCATTTATAAGTGCTCCAAAGTTGTCGCGGCTCCATTTCTAAAGCTACTAAAATGATATTTACACAAGCAATTCTCATTTGGTCTCAATCATTCAGGTGTTTTGACCAATCAAAACTGCAGGCGATTTTAAGGTTTTTATGATAAACATTTGGTATGTACAATTTCTTAGTTCTTTCCTAAATTCTTAATAAAAAGCGAGATGTTTAAATGTTATAGATGCCACAAATGACCACTCTTGTAAATAGAGTTTTTATAAATTCATTATAGTTTTGTTTGATAAGCAGATTGTATATTAAAAATAAGTTGGTGTCCAAGGTTTGAGTCTCACTGCTTTAAGTGAAAAGCAAACACAGAAACAAAAACCCTAAGTGCTCATATTTCTATAGTTACCCAGCATAGATTTTAGAGAGTTATGAAGGGAAAAAAGACATCAAATACGGTAAATTGAGTCATTCTGGGTTCCATAGAAATTTATGGAGTAACAATTTCACAGATTACTCTTAAGTAAATGGGATCTGTTTCAGAAATTTGAATTTTATGATATGCAAGAATGACTATTTAAAAGAAAATGATTATTAAAATATTTAAAATTTAAAAATCGACATTGATTCAACCAACATTCTCTGATCCTATTTTAAATTATATTCTGGAAAATAATGGTTGAATCAAAGTCAAATTTATGTAAAGTGGGTTTTGGCCTTAATGGATAAGTATGTTTGTTATGAAAGCAAAGTTCAGTAAGGTTAATAGCATGTGAAAACATTTGGAGCCAAATCAAAGTTCAGATAACCCACAGACTAAGGTTAAATGTAGCCAAATGACGTGAAAGAATCACTATGAGATGAGAATCAGCGTATTGCCCCTTGGGAAGAGAAGGCCAGTTAAGCGCCATCTGACTTTGTAGATATTGCTGTGAGAAGTAACCACCCTTGTCTCCACAGTACATCATGTACTGTTGAAGAACTGCAAGCTATTAGTGTAGCCATTAAAAACTTTCATAAGCAGCATGCCAAAATGGATGTATTTTAAAGTTTCAGACAAGCTTTAAACATTTCTTGGCAAAGAACCATTAGTTTTTCTGAAGCTTGTCAAAATAGCCCCAGATTTATGCTAACACATCAGACTCATTTACAAGAATACTAGATTGTGCATATGTGGCATGTTAGTAAGTAATCTATGGCAGAAATTTCTTAATGGATTCACCGTAATCCATTTATGAGGCAAATCAGTGATGCTGAGCTCTCTGTGTACCATGTATGACGACAGAATTGCTGGTGTAAGCAGAACTATAGCAAAGCAAATTCCAACATGCCCTGGGCCACCTGGGTTGTAGGGGACACTTTACTTTTTGCATTGTGCTGTGACCATTTCATGCATAATCTTGGGTCTTCATACTGTTTTACAACCAAAAGAAAGAAAAGGGAAATGGATATATATATACACACATATATTATATCTACATATACATACATATGTATATGCCTACAGTATATTAGCAATGCTGGAAATAGCTGATGCCACAAAATGCAGCCTGCATGCATGCAGAAGTTTATAGCTGGCCCTTCATCTGCATCGATTGGTGTTGAAGGTCCTTGGTATGTTTCGACAGCCCCATCCTTGATGCTTCTACACTGTTGGGTGCAACATCCTGTCCTGCAGCAGCAGGAAAAATGGTATGAGAAGCTTCATTATGCTTGGAGCACATTTTCGTGCCATTTGCCAATGCTGTAAAATTGTGTAAAGATGTCAGCTGAGAAATGGAAATAAAATAGAGACATATTCATTTACACTCCAGACTGTGGATTGTAATATGTTGCATTAGTCTAGGACATCTAAATTGAAAGAACAACAAAATGCCTTCATGTATGTGATTTCACTCTTCTCCCATCAACCTTGCTGAGGTGGGACTAGTGCCATTTTATAGATGAAGAAACTTAGCCATGGAGTAATTAAGTGCTTGGCTCAAATTTACACCACCAGGAAATGGATGCACTAGCGTGAGAACCTGTGCTTGCAGTCCTTGGACTGGCTCAGTCTACCGCACTGCCTCTCCCAGGTTAGCAGCAAAAATTCTGGCATGGAGGAGAGTCAGGCTACAAATTGGAAGTTCATAGCTTTGGGGACCATTGAAATAAGTCACCTCTATATTGATTTCTTATTGTATTGTCTCTCAAGTTTTTTAAAGCTCTTGCCCATTTATAATGCAGTCAAATGTGCAATCAGGATTCAGGACTCTGTTCCGAAATAAACTTAAGCTCTTATCTGGTTCTTTTGAAATACTCTCTTAAAATTCTTAACTGGTACGTTTAATTTGGGGGGAAAAAAAAGTTAGAAACCATAAGTTGAACGAAAATGTTAGAAATTGGTTGCACAAAAATAGGCATTTTCTACTTTGATTTATGGGTTAGTAAATAACTGAAACCACAGGTGTGTGTGTGTGTAGGCCAACAAAAAGGGCTTCTTTCAATTACTGCTGTGCATGAATTTTGGATAGTTTTACTTCTCTTACTTCCTAAAAACTGATAACATTTATAGAATAGTATTTAACACAAAGATTTTTAAAAATGAGTTGCTCCTTTGACATTAAGTTTACATTAACTTACTGTTATGTTGGCCAGATAAGGACTGTCACCTCACAGCTGAATTTCACTTTTCTTAAAAAAAAAAAAATTAATATTAAAATGTTTTCATCTCTTGGTTGTTGGCTTGCTTGCATGGATCATTCATTAAATAATTTTTTATTTGCTAGATACCCATAATATCTGCCGAACATCTGACTAGCCACAAGTATGTTACCCAGATGTAGAATTTTCATCACTAAACAGTAAGTTCCTTCTGTAATATATAGTGTGTACTTGTAGTGTTTTTTTGAGCTACCATTTGTATGATGTACTTCAGGAAGTTTTGCAGAATTTCAGAGAAAATATTTATATGTTTTCTTTTATTTTTATTATTTTTAAATTGAACGTCATCAAATATTTACTGAACAGCTGCCTTGTGACTGGCACAGTTCTAGAAGTAGAATGTACAAGCAAATTAAAGCTTAGACGAATGAGTACATTTATAACCGAGAGTATGCTTCAGTGCTGAAGGTTTTGAGAGGAGGTAAGAAAGGTCTCCCGTTTTTATCTTAGGTGGGTTGTAAGGAATATTATTATAAAAATTTATAATATATGTTAATGTCACTTACGTGTATGTAATTCTTAAGGAAAATAAGTTTTGTTTTTGTTTCATATTAGAAATAAACACAAACGTGAAGAAAAAATATGACTTAAAACTAGTATAGATCAGGGGTTGGCAGACTTTCCTGAAAAGACCAGACAGTAAATATTTGTGGTTGCATGGGCTATATACGGCTTCTGTTGTCACTCATTTCTGTTGTAGCTACTCAGCTCTGTCACTCTAGCATGAGAGCACCTGGAGACAATATGTAAATGAAATGGTGTGACTGTGTCTCAGTAAAACTCTATTTACACAATTAGGTGGCAGGTCTGATTGGCTCACGTCTAGTAGTTTGCTGAGCTCCAGTGTAGGTCATCATTTGTTTTATTTTTTAATGTTTTGCTAAATCCTATATGTGAGAACATGTACCCACTTCAGCTCATGATTCACCACACACAGGGTTATTCAGATATAAAGAGTCGGGCTTTAAATCAATGTATACACACACTCACATACATACATATGCATACATCCACATATCCAACTTTAGGTACTTCAAAGTAGTCAACCTTAGAAGATTGTATAATTCTGAAAATGTCATTGTTGAAAAATAATTTGAAAGTCTTGTGATTTTCCTTCAAGCACCTTGACTTAGACACTTGGGAAAGGTGGCCATTTTTCATCCTCAGAGGCTATGCTTTATTCAGTATTTACACATTCAAGCTATCATATATGCTCAGGATATTTGTTTCATGTTTATAGTTTTATATTTAAAAGGAGCCTCTGTATTTGAAACTGAATCTCGTAAATAAGATGGGTGATCCTTCTTGCTGCTTCCTTTCAATAACACATTTGCAAATGATTTTTTGGTGCTATGTGTTACCGTGTGTTACCGTGCCAATGAGATAAAGATGAACAGACAAGAGATAAAGATGTTAATTTCAGCGCCCTCTAATAAAATGAGAGGTTTGAACAAATTTCTCTTGGAGCGAAGATGAAGGAACAACTTTCTCCAACAGAGTCCGAAAATAGTGACTTGGGGCAGCGAGGGCTGCGCTCAAGAGAAGGGAGGAGTAAGGGCCTTTCAGAAGGGACTGTGAGTGTGTCCAGTGAGGAGACGGTGGCAGAGAACCAGTTCTGAGACCCTTGCGATAATAATCTATAGCAAGAGCTGGACAAAGGCTGAGCCCATGCAGGACAAGAGGATAGACAAAATTTGAGAGCAGTCCAGGAAGTAGTACCAAAGACATGCTACAATCACGCATTAAATTCTTGAAAGTGATCTTTGTCTATTTCATAAGCTTTCTCAATGATCTGGTAATAAATTCTCCTGAACAGGAGTCACATTTTTCAATAAGCACATTCTTTTTAATATGTAGGTTTGGATGAAAAGTTCTCCTTTTGACAGATTCTAAAACCCTACTTCAAGCTTTGGTAGTCAATTGGGTATGTTTGGTGTGTATATAACTATGTTCTATTTCTGAGCGATAATCCAGGTTGAAAACAAATGATACCAAACGGCTGTAAGTTCATCAATTAGCAAACCAGTGGACTTACGTGTATTGCATCTTAGGCTCTTAATGTTCTGTTTAACAACTGATTGCCCATTTTCATGCGTAGTTGCAATAATTAAACTGCTTTTTGAGTGGAGCAAAATGGTGACTTCTTTCATGCTTGAGGTTGTACTGCAAACATATGTTTAATATGTAAAGATTCTCTGATGAGAACAAAATTCATGTAAAAACTGAAACTGTTAATTCACAAGTACATTGTAATATCTGTTCCACCTTAATTTGTCAGGAGCATAAGGGATTTTTCTTTCCCTTGGCTTTAGGGGGAAAAAAAACCCCAAACTTTAAATTAACCAAAACAGTTATTTACAGTATAAATTTTTTCCAAACATATGCTATGCTAATCAAGCGCCCATATATGGTGAGTCATGTTTAATAGGACTTACTGTTGCATGGATTTTAATTTTGTGGGGCCAAACCAGTATTCTTGCAACCCGTTAAACTACAGGAGAGAGGAATTAAAGTGAGCTTAAGTGCTGCCCCACAATGATAGTGCTAAAAAAGAGCTCTACTATATTATGCCCCTTGATTCTGCAAACATATTTTATACTTTTAGCTGAGTATGGGGTAATATTTGAGCAGAGCCCATAATTTTATTAGGCCGTGCATGTCATTTTATTCTCATAGAGTTGTAAATTTAGGTCCACTTGTACTTGGGGAGTGGTTTTTGTTTCTATATGAAGATGTAACAACATACGTGTATTTTACTCTTTAAACCAAGCAATACGGTTTTCAGATGAAGTAGTTACTGGAAATTGCCTTGTTTTAACCAACATCTTCTCTTTTTAGACTTTCTCTCTGTTTTAACCAAGATTGTCTCTTTTTCCCTTGTAGATCATACTAAAGAGGAAAGGACAGTGTGCTTGGTTAGCGTAAAGGACGAGGTCATTAGCCATATTGTAAATACCGTCAAGCAACACACACAAAAACCCCTCAGCCACAAGACATCCACATATTGCATGTTAACCAGAAGAAGAGACAACATGGAAATCCACTGCACACTGTTGCCTATACACTTTGTACATTTAATTGATATTTGTGCTGAGGTGATATTCCTGTCTGAAAGAAGAACAACATTGTCTTTCTTTTCTAGCACAGAGTTCTGCATTAAAAGATGCATACCTAATTAGTTTCCTATATATTCATGCCATCTTGAAAAGACAGACTATGGTGTAACCATGATTCTATTATGTATTGGTACGTCTGTAGACCAAGGTATAATTTTTTAAAAATAAGTTTATTTCTTTCAAGGTTTACAAATAACAAAGGTGCACCTTGTATTTAAAATCGCCATTATAGACGAGAGCGTGCATGCACAGTCATTTTTGTTTAAGAGTAATATTTTTAATGTAATAGATTTTAAGATGTGGTGAGGGAGGGATCTGACAGAGATGAATGTGCCAAGCAAAACCACAACTGTGTATCTTTTAAAGCACATCATGGCTTTAAGTACCATGTTGTTAAGGATTCTCATGAAGTGCCATAGACTGTACATCAAATTAGAGTATTATTTCTTCAGTGTTATTGTTTTCAGAGCCACATTTTGTTGCTTATTTGCTAGTACTAATCAGTCAAAGGGCACCATTCTTTTTTCCTTTTTTTTTTTTTTTTTTTTTTTTTTTTTTTTGGAAACCAAAGCTGTCTCAGAAATGGCCAATTTAACTCTACAGTAACAATAGACAGCACAACACAAACTCTCTCAATACCGATAAACTCACACATACTGGAGATATATATAATAGATATATATATATAAAATTATTTTAATGCATTGTAGTGTCATATTTATGCATACTATACTGTGTAACATGTTATTCAAAAGGGATATGCCATTTCTGAGACACGATAACAAAAAAAAATGTTTGAGGAAATTATTTTGCTTCTATTTATAGCTCTGTCAAAAGTCAAACGACTATAAATGCTTTGCAAAAATGGTTTCACATTTGCTTAAATGCTTCACCACAGTCACGTTTAAAATAGTGACTCTAAACAAAGAAGAAAGCAGCACTGTCATCAGATGCATGATAAACCAAAATATGAAAATGGGAAATGTTTAATTAACCTAGTAATTGGGTGGGTTAAGTACATGGGTGAATTTTATATGTGATTTGTTTTGTTTTGTTTTGTTCAGATTAACTGCTTATAGCCTTAGAAAGCCTTTTACAAAATTAAAAAAAAATAGATGTGCATTCAGTTTTTAAGAATGGATTCATCCAAAGGAATTCCTTTTTTGTGGTTTGGATGTTGCAGCTAGTAAAGGATATTTTTGCTCTGATTGGCAGTTCTAAAAATTGCTGACGTCAGGGCCAGGTCACTGGTAGTTATAGTGTGGAATGGGAGAAGCGAAAGTTCAGTTATAGAACTTTCCATACTTCCAAGTTTACTGCAAGTTTTTATGCTTGAGAGAGATGCTTTCTAATATAAGACTGATGTGTTGATTTTACTGATTGTACTGTACATCTATTAAAGCCTTAGATTATTACATTACGGGTTGGAACCCATACCAATGTAATTTCAATCATGTTAAGAGAGTAATGGTGACTTCACATGTTATTGTAGTTAGTTACATTATAGAATATTACTTATTTTTCTTGTTAAAATGTAGTTTTTCATTTCCTACATTTATTAGATTTCATTTTCTATTAACAATTGAATACCATTTCAGTTTATAGACTCTTGTTTTATTAGATTTTACCGATGAATTTTTCAAAATACAAAAAAAAAATTAAAGTAGTTTTTCCTTCATAACATACTCAGTTTTGAATTACATGTAGTGTCATACGAATATTCGTATTATTGTTAACTAAATGATTTATATTTTACTGATTTAATATTAAAGTGTAAGAATGTCAGTCATTGTTAGTTCTTGTCTAGTTTTCATTAAAAGAACAAAGATCTTTTATATGGATATCTTATAAATATATAATCATTGCTAAGTAAGAAGTTAAGTTGTTGCTATCGCAACAATCCTGGCAGACAATTGAGTAATATTTTGATGATTTATTTTGTTTGTAATTAGTTATTATAAGAAGATCTAGATCCTAGATATTAGAATAAAATTTATTTTCTACTGTATCCATTTCAAATGTTAAAGTATTGTTTAATATTTTTGAAATCCCTGAATATCAGGCCTTGTTATAAATAAGCTGCATAATCAATAAATAGAACAAGGGACTTTTTTGTTGATAATCCAAATACTCAAAGTTTACGTAATGAGAATTATAGCGTGTGTGCAAACTCTTGAGGGTTGATTATGCTGCAATTTAGCATGTTGGAACGTCTAGAGAGAAGGTTGACTTTTTGCACTTCTGTATATAGTCAAAAGAGAGAAACCTGTATAATAGTAAGATCTTATTTTGAATAAAAACGTCTATAATTACAAGGAGTTTTGTTAAGGCTAATAAAATGACAGACTGAGCAAAATTGCTTGCAAAAGTGGCACAGAGTTAGCACTCCATACCCCTTCAAACATGTTGCTTTGCTTTATTGTGGACAGCTTGTAGTTTGCCAGGATTTTTTCAGCTGGAAAGATATGCCATCCTTCCGAGATCTCATGACTGACAAAAACTCCATTGGGCCAAATCTGCCTGAAGATCATTACCAAAAATAGCAGGTACTTCAACCATTAAGGTGAAATCATGGATCAAATATTCCTTACATTTTTCAAAACTACTGCATGTTTAAAACTTCAACAAAAAAAAAAAAAGAGAGAAAGAACTATACTAAGGACATATATTATACAAATCAGTTTCTGCCAATTTCAGTGGTTTATTGTTCACACAAAAAAAAAAATCTTCAAAACAAGTATTGACTCTCACAAAATTTAAACCGTAAACAGGCAAACCAAACAGCACACCGTAGCTATAGTTGTTATGTGATTGTTTTTTAATTGCCGTAGGATCCTGTTCTTTCAGCAGGTGAAAAAAACAAAACGCAGTTCAAATTTCACGGTTTTAATTTTCAACTCAGAAGCACTCAAAAAAGCAAATGTGATCATGGGCACTTGTTTAATCAATTCGTGTATCCAGCCTTCACTCCCGCTGGCTGCACTTCTCAGCAACCCTACCGCTTTCATCTGCTGAAAGGACAGATGTGCTTGGTTTTACTATTATGTAATCACAACTTACTTTCTGCTTGTAGTTGCTTAAAATTATGTATTTTGTCTTGGGCTGCAATTTGTTTTATGCTTATTTTATTATTACTGCAGTAGTTGACTTTGCTGTATGGAAAAATAAAGTGAAATTGCCCTAATAAAACTTCTCTTTCTTAAGTATATTTGTGTATCTGAGACTGAAGAGTAAATTATTTGTGCGCGTTTCGAGTATTCATGCCTGTCTGTCTTAAGGAACGTACCGATATGAAAATTCATTATCTGGTTTTAACTGATTGCAAGGAAGGCACTCACTATTCTTCTCACTAACTGTCCTTTGATACCAAGCTTGAGAATCTCAATTGTGATGCATCGCCCTGTATTTTCTGAAACGTCTTGCCCTCTCTTACCTTGACACTTCGAGTGCTTGCTGTTGGATACTATTTTGAGTATAGAGGAGGAAAACCATAAGGGAGGAAAAAAATCTCTTATCAGTTCTAGAGCGCTGTCTATTAAAGAAATTCTCTTTGGCTTCTTCGGGAGGCTAGGGCTGGAAATCAGGCATTCTAAGTGAATATTTCAGTAATGAAATAATGATGGCATTTGATTCAGCGGGATAAAAGAGGTTACACATAGGCAGCTGAGCCAGGCCATGCCATAACTCGTGTGTGTGTGTGTGTGTGTGTGTGTGTGTGTGTGTGTGTGTGTGAGTGAATTTTGTAAATGAGAAGTTAAAAATTTGGCTACAGTGAGGTCTGGCATCCCATACAGCTTCCCATTTTGCAGTTTCCACAAATAGCCAGTGAAAGCCAAAGTTCCAAAGTAAAGAAATTAACTCCTTTGTTCCTTTAGTGCTGCTTTATGTGATGGTGCCACACTCCATACTGGGTCAAAGCCTGCAAATTTTTCTTTGTGCATCGGTGCTTTTTTCTCTAGAACTTACTACAACGAAAGTAAGTGCATTATTTATAGTTAATACAGTTCTGCCACTGGTTGAGTTCTATAGAACATTCCTGTTATTCTCAGTGGATCCAACTATTCGAGGTGCCACTTAATCAAAATTAGAGTAGCTGTCCCGGAGATGATTATATAAAGCAGGAGTTTATAATATTTTTGAGTAACGTGAAAACATCCAACTCTCTGCAATTAGTGATGGTATTTTGGATATCTTTTAATTGAAAAAGAATTTCAGTAATGAACAGCCATTGTAAGTTTTCAGTACTTTAAGTGATGCTGTGTTTCATTAATCACAACAGTATTCACCCCTTTAAGTGATGCTGTATTTTATTAATCACAACAGAAAAATAGTGTTTGAGATATTTGTTATTTTCCAGACAACACTTATTATTCAGAAGGATCTTTGACGACAAGGACCACTAGGGGTCCTCAGCTCACACGATGGGACCCTGTCTTAGAAGTCATTAGCTACTTCTTTCTTTTTTGGGGAACAAAATCATTTGCTAGAGCCATTCTTTCATTACAGAGCCTTGACACTCACAGAGTTTACACTTGGGGATTGCTCTGGAGGTAAGTGACGCGTAGCAATCTATAATGTCACTGAGGCACACTCAGACCAGTAGTTTCCTTCATATAAGAAATAGTCACTTAACATTGTAAGCAAACCTGTAGGACACTCGGCAACAAAATTTTTTTATTTTTTAACTTATTTTCACTCCACTCCCTAATGATTTTGAGGCAGTCAATTTAATACTTGTATGGAAACTAATTTGGCAATAAATTTCATAAAAAAAATACTTGAGGTCCTCTGTGTTCTGGAGAAAATAGTGTGTTGTGATATTAAAGAATTTGGAAACTTTTGAAAGCCTAGAAGATACCTGCCTGAACTGTATTAACATCATGGAGGTCCACAAATGTGCAACAGAGAGATTTAAATGTCAAGTGATTTGTTTTTGACATTTGTCTCTTGATCTATAAAAACAACATCGGGCCTCATTGAAATGACTTTAAAGAAACCCTCGGCCATTGCCAGCATTGGGCCCAGCCATCCCTAGAAGGGGCCTTGGCCCCACCAGCACTTGGAACGGGTGGTAAATCTGAAGCTTCCTTCAGACTGTGGCTGTGGGAGGCCACGCTGGGCCACAGCTACCCTTCCAAACCTCTTGGGAGTTAGACTCTAGGTTTTCCAGGACCTTCAGAAAAGCAGGATCCAGATGTGTGCTGTGCTTGACCTGGGCTTGGGGCTCTGGAACTCTCCTTCTTCCAAGGCCTACTGGCACGCTTCCTCAGAGGTGTCAACCCTTGCGCTGGATGCCTGTCATCTTCAGCTACCCCATCCTTCCCCCATCCCTGCCAAGGGTCCCAGGCAAACAAAGGCAGAGCCTACCCGTTTGTGTATTTTAAGGAATCTGACCCCCAATTTTCTTTTTGCTGCATGAGCTCTTTGTGTGCTCATGTAGTTTCGTTTTTGTTTTTGTTTTTTTGGGGTTTTTTTTTTTGCTAATGAAATGTTGGGAAATAGAGCAAAATATAGCCTCCCCTGGAATTCACCTTTTTAGGAACAAATAACAGTGGCAGTTAGAACACAGATAAAACCTATTACTATTAGTGACCTGATAACGGTCTTTCAGAAAACGACTTACCGAACGACCAGTTCCTTTTTCTCTGATTGGGTTTCATAAGGACAAAGTGTAGAATTTATTTTTTAACAGGGAATAATCCAGGAAATTTATTCGTGGTGGTTGGGAGCCACCAGGTCGTTGTGTAAATTCTAACCACTACTCTCCGTCCCATTTGCCTCTAGGTGGAATCCCTGACCTTGGAACTTAGAAGAGCTCCATGAAGGGGGTCAAACAGCTTCAGGTGGGCTTCTGTGACTCCACTGAGATGGGTGCATTTTCCCTAGAGGAAGATTTTAGCTGTTGCAACCATTGCCTGGGCCACAGTCATGAATAGATCTCCTAGGACATAGAAAAGCAGCCATGGAAGAAAATGTAGGAGGAGGGTTCCACATCGGTGTGAGTCCTCAGGCCCAAGTGCCTGGTTTATTAAATCTGTTCTGGCCCTAGATACACAACTATGGGAGTATTAAATACTGAATTATACCACCCGTGTTGTAACTGAAAGGCACTTGCTTGGACCAGGATAGCTACCACCAAGATTGCCCGGGTAGACAGGATCTATTCACAGGAGAACCCCAAGTTCGTGTTAGAAACCAGCGGTCATGGTGACTCTGAAGGTCTGGAAATCAGTGAGCAGTCTGCAGATGAGCATACTTGAACTTAAATTTAGAGCCACGAAGTGCCAGAGAACCAAAAATTTAGCCAAGCGGATCTCCAAAGTCCATTTAGAATGGCACACAGTGCACTGGTCTGGAAGACATAAGCCTCTTGCCTAAAGTCATATAGTGAGAGTAGCAAAGTTAAGCAGAAAACTTCGACCCCATCCCCACCCCCGAAGTCCCATAATATAACATGACTTTAGGTTTAGGATGAAAGAGGAACTTCAAGGCTGCAGCAGAGGCTGAACAAAAGAAGCCTTAGGAATTAACATCTAACAAATTAACAGTCAAAACCTGGGCCCTGAATAGGGTCTTAGTAACAAGAAGAACTTTAGTGTATGCCCTGCTTTGTTTTACTCCTGGGCCCCTTTCTTTTCACACATGCAACCAGATCCCACCTGCGGACTTCAGTGGGCTCTGAAGTGTCACATCTGAGGGTGGGGGGAGTTTAAGGAATTGGGGCACATTCTTGTGCATGGTAAAGATAGGTCCTAGCCAGGGAGAAGAGCATCTCAGATGCTAGTAGAAAACATAGCACATAGGAATAGGTTATAATCCCCTAAAATGACTATTTTTTGGACATGCATTGAAAATTTCCTTAAATTCATAAAAGTCAAAGCTATGTATTGGAAATGGCAGTGAGCACTGGGGTGGCTCTGCCGTGGTCAAGGGCTCTGGTACAAGACCACAGGGCTCCATCTCTCAACTTTCTAACCCTTCGAGTTCCTTTACCTCTCTGTGGTAAGAGGTAAGAGAGAAATAAGAGAGAAATCATAATAATACAGGAATCACCTTAATAAGACAGAAGTCATAAAAAGAATATTTACCTTGCAGGGTCATGGAGTTGTTCCCAGACTTTTCTGCAGTTTGGAATTACCTGGGGGATCTTTAAAAGGTATTCAGACTTGGTTCCTACCTCTAGACCTTCTGATTTCATTGCTGTGAAGGCAATTATTGGGTTAATATACAAAAAGTGCGTAGAACAGCACCTGAACCTATAGCAAGCACTTGATACATGTTAACTATGATCACTATTTTATTAGTATCCATTTTGCAAATTGCTACACGTGATCTTTCACTTTCTGCCCTAGTTCTTAGGTCACACAGCCCTTTTTTCAAGGAACCGTGCATACACTGTATGTATTTGTGTTATCTAAGTTCTGTCTTCCCTGTTTGGTGAAACTTTATCTTCCTTTAATTCACCACAGCTCCTGCTCGTTGCTGCACATACAGCAGATATTTCAAAACTAGAATCAAGTACTTTGTGACTCATTCTGAAAATTCGTATTTCATTTTCCAGCATGATATGACCATAGATTGTACCTAAGTCGTGTCAATTTGAAAGTGACAGTTTAGACATATCTATCTAAGCTTAACTATTTGAATTTTCCCTGTATTAGAATTGTGCTCAAGAGCAAATAACAGAATGGATGCAATTAATTGTCATAAAAAGTGTGCCTTTAAACAATGCATTTAAAATATTTTATTTATCAAAATAATATTTCCAATTACATCTGAGTGACCCTAATGTATTTACATATCATTTTTTATTGCAGGTTTATTTTAGATGCTTAAATTAGTACTGGCTCAGCTCTGTGAACACACACTATAGTTAGAATCTAACCGTGTGCCAAGGCACTGTGTGAGGCTCTGAGATACTAGATTGAATGGCAACAAGTTCACAGTGTAATAACTAAAATATGATGTATAGGATACTGAATACACCCTGATCTATTACTTCTCTCCTCCCACAACTGTCCTGAGCTCTTTAGCTGTAACACAAAGTAATTTAGAATAAAATTAAATGAAAATTACTCTTTTTGAATAATATGACTGCTCTCCTCATTACCCAATTCTTTATATCCCTGAGAAGTAATCTGAATATTGAAAAATTATGTATCGTTGATTATGCTAATTATAGCATTTTTTTATAATGGCAAAACCAAAGAACAGTC